AATCTCAAAGTTGATCTTTTGGGTGGACATTGCCTTTAATGCATTATCTATGTGTGGGGGAATACGACAGATATACGTATGCCTTCGTTGTACCTGATGAGACTATCTGAAATTTCCAAGCTAGCAAAGCTTCTAATAACAAGTCCTCACGTTGGATGTTTCTTTTTGCCTGATGAGCATTATCCGTATAGCTCGTATTTCTAGTTAATTGCTCACTTGCAAGTTCTTAAGTTGTCTCCAATTTATAAAGAAGTACTCAATACGGTAACGATTGTGAGTTCACTACTTCTGTGATTAGGTAATTTGCTGCTTCTCTCGTCATAGTTCACTCAAAGCTCAGAATACTTTGTTGTTCATTCTGAAATTATTAGCATTAACTACAACATACCATTTTCGATTGCTATTGACAATGAGTGCATTTCCACTTGTAATGGATTCCTAGGAGATCATTATAAATTAGCGCGCTTTTGGTAGTTGCAATGCGACCGTCGTAATTGCATATTTGGTAGTGTACTACTTCTCAGCGGCTGGAACTGTGGTACAAATTTCTTGAACCAGGTTTCTAGAAGAAATTTGTTACCCTTTATTATGTGGTAAACTTTGGTTCCTTAAGGCATGAGATGCTGGAAAACAAAGCCAGATTCTGCATATCAAACAAGTTTTTTTTTCACAGAATCTAAGTGTTACAGCATCATTTCATCTGAAAACAACGACTAACCTTGGACTACTTGGGTCAATTTTGAGCTTCCTATATATAAGCGATACACTTCCTTATGCTTAGAAAGGAGGATGACAAGTCCAAACCCATAGAACGATGAAAAAATGATCACTTCAGTTTGACTGTTCAAATATTGAATCTTTCGCACCTATGTCCATTTACTATGATTTATAACACATCTTAACAAACGGGTATTACTTGATCTTGTTTTTGAAATAATCAGGTGTAAACAATTTTTTGTTTGCCAAATGAAATATTTTGTACTCACAGCACATGTCTGTCTATGTTTTGACGTCATATACTGTTAGAAAAATTTGGAGTGCAAAAAGATGACTTCGCATATTACAATCGTTCTCATAAATCTAACTGTCACGTACTTACGTTCAGGTTAATCAATTTACTACTTACTTCTACTTAAATAATCACGGGGTGACTAGTGCATAGCAACCGTCTTCCTCTACACTAATGTTTGCGTTACTATTGCTGTTATTCTCAATCGCTCTTGTAGTCGATGGTGGAGCGGTGGGAGGTTTGTCTGGCTCTAATTCACATCTGTTTTCTTCTAAATGGCGTAAAAATACATTTTTCAGAATGCCGCTCAGAATGTGTTGAACAAAATCGCTATAAGATCGTCCGAGTTCATTTGAAGGTGAGTGACGAAAAATTCTTCACATTGATTAACTATATTCGGATTTTTAAGGATGATTTGGTTATGGTAGGAATCTGCCGAAACACCACGCTTTCAGACGATGGCTACAAGTCGATCGTAGTCCCAATGATCTGCAATCGCCATCACGGCATATGGACCATAGATACTGAGGTAAGAATTACATAGTGCAAAAACACGAACACAGTTAATTTTTCGAGGTTTAAGTAAAACACTTTCGTGAGAGACTTTTGAAAAAAGTTGCATGGCGATGTTGATTTTTTATTTACTTGAAAACAAGATACATTGCAAAGGAACACCTCATTCTCCCCTACTTAAAATCAATCGAGACCTCAGCAACGTTTATGGAAAATCTTAGCATTAACTTAGTCGACGCTGATTCAAGTCAACTATGTTAATGCTAATAGTGTCTTCTCCGACATCTTCAATAATGAGCATCTTTGGATTCGCATTCGATAAGTCATGATGAAGTTTTGATCAAGATCTTATCAGCGGTATCGCAAAAGCGAAGTATCCTACACAAGTCTGAAGAGTTCACTTTATTTGATAATTCGCCTCAACCGACTAATTGTTTATTTTAGCATCTTACCAGGGAGGACCCATAGTCGAAATCGCCTTTTCAAATGA